CTAATCACTTATCTTTACACTTGGCACCCTTAATATCCTAACTCCAACAATTTTTTAATTCTATTAGGATCTACAATCTAATGAAAGTACCTTTTCACTGTCTCTCCTTTCAAGTTCTCACATCCCTCCTAAACTGGCTTAGATTCCATAGTCTGTTACTAAAATCACTCCTCTGCATCACCCTCAAAGCCCTCGGCCCTCTTTGACTTTGTCGTACTTACCAGGCAAAATCCCAACCTTGGTTATATCCAACTCTCTGCCTATTAAAAAAACTTGCACTTGCAGAACTAAGTAAGGCTGAAAAAAGTCTACGGCCATACCACCCTGAACGCGCCCGATCTCGTCTAAGTAAGGCTGAAAAAAAACCAAATAACCGAGTTATATGTCCCGCTATATTCCCTGGTTCATTCAATTAAATTTATGATCACTAACCTGAAGTAGGCCTTTAGTGCTACACAGCAATCCCACTACATTCCCTGGTTCATTCCATTTTCCATTTCTAACTATCTCTCTCATATCTATTTCTCTTGTTTCAAACCTACGCCTCCTCCCTACTTTCAGATGATGACTTCATGTTCTATTCACTGAGAAAACAGAAGCAATCTATAGAAATTGTCCACATGTTCTCCCCATCCCTTAGAGAAGCCCTTTCCCTCCACATGAATTTGATCATGCTCCTCCTACATTTGGCCAATCTCTCCCTCTAGTACCCAATATACTAGCCCCACACCTAATCAGGACATCACTCCAGCAATCTTCCCCCTTTCTGCTATGAAATCAAGTTATCCCTCTCTATTGGATCATCTCCACGCATATATATGCTGTAATCTTTCTCACTTTATAACAAAACAAAAATCTTTCCTGACCCCACAGTCCTACCCAATTATCCTCATTCTTTGAGTGCCAGACTCACTAACTCCAAATCCTCCCTTTCCATTCTCTTGATTCTATTGCAACAAGGTTTTTTCTTTTTTTTTTTATTGATTTGCGAGAGAGAAAGAAGAAAGGAGGTAAGGAGAGAAGGAAAGAGAAAGAGACATCAATTTTGTTGTTTCACTTATTTATGCATTCATTAGTTGCTTCCAGTATGTGCCCTAACCAGAGATCTAACCTACAACCTTGGAGTATCAGGATGGCACTCTAACCAACTGAGCAACCTGACCAGGGCAAGGTTTTCATTCTTACCATTCCATAAAAAAGCTCAAGATCATCCATGTCCTCCACGTCACTAAAGCTAATGGTGAATTCTCCATCCTGAATTTGATCCACCAGCAATATTTAACATAGTTTAGTATTTCCTCCTCAAAATGCTTACTTCATTTGGCTTCTAGAAATCATTCTTCTATCTTGGTTTTCTATTTTCCTTGCCAGCCCTTCTTGATCTCTAAATATTTTTAATTGTTCCAAGGCTTAGCCCTTGATTCTTTTTTCTTAATTGCATTCATTCCTTCCCTAGGTGATGCCATCCAAGTTCAAAGCATTAAATACCATCTCTATATTGGCAACTCCCACATTTAGATTCCCAGTCAAGACCTCAGTCCTGAATTCCAGAAGGCATCAGCTAAAGATGTAGATTTCTATCTCCAGTTCACATTTCTTCTCTGAGCTTTAGACCCATTTACTCAGCTGTCTACTTCTCTCGCTGAATATCTCAAAGACATCCTTCCTACACTAAATCATGTCCAAAAGCAAACTCAATCTCCACTCCCATTCTACCACTGAAATATGCTCTTCTCCAAGCTTTTTAAACATCTGTGAATGGCACCATTACTTCCCCACCTAGAATCGCAGATGTTATCCTAGACACCTCCCTCTTCTTTGTCCTTAATATCCATCCACCGTGTTGATTTCACCTTTTTTAAAATATATTTTTATTGACTTCAGAGAGGAAGGGAGAGGGAGGGAGAGATAGAAACATCAATGATGAGAGAGAATCATCGATCAGCTGCCTTCTGCATGCCTCTTACTGGAGATTGAGTCCACAACCCAGGCATGTGCCCTTGGCCGGAATCAAACCCAGGACTCTGCAGTCCCCAGGCCAATGCTCTATCCACGGAGCCAAACCAGCTAGGGCTCATTTCACTTCTTAAGGATTTTCTGAATGTATCCTGTTTTCTACTTACCCATGTTTACTCTAGTCTGAGCTTCCATTACATGAACCCGACTAAGACAGATACCTTCTAATAGTCTCTCTGCATCCATTCCTACTCCTTTTCTTCCGTGCATCCTCTCAAAAACAAGAGTCTGGCCCTCGCCGGTTTGTCTCAGTGGATAAAGCGTCAGCCCACAGACTGAAGGGTCCCAAATTCAAGTCTGGTCAAAAGCCTGTACCTTGGTTGCAGGCTTGATCCCTGGCCCTGGTCAGGACTCATGAGGGAGGCAACCAATCAATGTGTCCCTCTGACATTAATGTTTTTCTCTGTCCACTCTCTCTAAAAATCAATGGAAAAATCTCCTCTAATGAGGATTAACAATAACAACAACAACAAAAGAGTCTGATCATATCTCCTCTCTGTTTCAAATCTTTAGTACCTTCCCACCATATGAAGTCAAGATTCCTTAATAAAGCCCAAAAGGCATTGGAGAGGACGCCTACCTTCACAGATTCATCTCATGTCAATCTCTGCATCACTATCCACATTTTAGCATCACTAGCTTTCCTTCAGTTCTTTGAGCATACCACAGTCCCTATTCCCATGGGGCCTTTACACATGGTGTTCCCTTTTCCTTGAACGCCAACACCACCACCCCACTGCCACCACCTATCTCTTTATACTTCTTAATTACTATTCCGTCTTCAGATCTCATCTCAAAAAACATTTCCTCATGCCCTGGCCAAGTAGTTCAGTTGGTTAGAGCAGTGGTCAGCAAACTCATTAGTCAACAGAGCCAAATATCAACAGTACTTCTTCAAAATAGACTCGCCCAGGCCAAAAACTGACTTCTGCGCATGGGCCACAAAGTTTCAAGCACACTGGTATTTTGTGCAAGAGCCACACTCAAGGGGCCAAAGAGCAGCAGTTCGCCGACCACTGGGTTAGAGCATCACCCTGATAGACCAAGGTTGCAGTTTCAATCCCAGGTCAGGGCACATATAATTATCAACCAATGAATTCATAAATAAGTCTAACAACAAATCAATGTTTCTCTCTCTCGCTCTCAAATATCAATTTAAAGAAATAAAAATAAATACTTCCTCAGAGAAGCCTTCCCTGCCTCTTCAAACTAGATCAACTCCCCTTCAGTTAGGCTTATCATTGCACATATCATTTCATACTTCTGAGTGTAATTCTAAATGTACAATTATTTTATGTGATTAATTTGTGCTCGGTGTCAATCTGAAAAGAACTTGAAGTCAATGAAGGAAAAGATTGTGCTTCGTTAACATGACTGTATCTCTAGCTCTCAATGGAACAGCCACGTACACATTTTTTCAATGAAAAAAATCAACACAGACGTCACAGAGGAAGCCACAGAATTAGACAGGGCTGCATAGGAGTGGGATTTAGAAAGATAAAAGGGACCACGACAGCCCTGGACAGGCGGCTCAGTCTGTTGAGGGGTCCTCCCTACACCAATCGGTGGCAGGTCAGATTTCCAGTCAGGGCACATACCTACGTTGCGGGTTCGATCCCCACCCCAACCCCCTTTTCCGCAACTCTCTTCCTCCCTCCCTTCCTCTCTCTTTAAAAACCAATGAAAACGGCCGAGACCGGTTTGGCTCGGTGGATGGAGCGTCGGCCTGCGGACTGGGGGGTCCCGGGTTCGGTTCCGGTCAAGGGCATGTGCCTGGGTTGCGGGCGCATTCCCAGTGGGAGATGTGCAGGAGGCGGCTGATCGATGTTTCTCTCTAATCGGTGTTTCTAACTCTCTATCTCTCTCTCTCTCCCTTCCTCTCTGTAAAAAATCAATAAAATATATTAAAAAAAAAATGAAAACGTATCCTTGGGTGAAGATTTAAAACAAGAAGGTGGGGGGTAGGACCAGAATGACCCTGGGAAAATATCATCATAGGGACTAAGCAGAGGAAATAAATTAGGAAGGGGTGGGGGGGAGGGGTAAAACCATCAGAAAGTTAAAAACAACAAAAAAGGGAAACAGCATCACGAAAGCCAAGGGAGGATAACATACAAAAGAGATAGAACAGAAGGCATTGGTGGTCTAGTGGTGAGCATAGCTGCCTTCCAAAAGAGACAGAACGGGCCATAGCATTTGACAAGTAGGCACCTACCAATCCGACAGGATAGCCCGTGAGATGCTGTGAGGAATTGAACAGAGGTGAAACACAGAGGAAAGCGCGCGTCTTTCCAACTCCCCTGGAAGCAAGATTTTACACTCATCAACTTTTTTTTTATATATCCTTCAACTACCAAGACAGTCCGTATAGAATAAATCTAAGGAAAATATGTGTGCCACTTTATATTTCAACCTTATTTCTCTATATTGGTACGAGTCATGTTAGGCTGACTGCTTATCTAACACATAAGAATAAATGTTCTAATATTTACACCTGAAACGTTTTCGTTTTTTGTTTTTTTGCTTCTCAAAGTACTTTACCTCCCCGAATCGTCAAAACAGACATCCGTGTGTCCCTCTGTATGTCCGTATCTCATCGGCTTCTGTGTGGCAGGCATCTTTTCCTTCGCCTCCCTGGAAATGTTTTATCACATATAGTATTATTCTAAAGACGAAAAAGCCGGGGGCTGGGGGACAAGCGGGTGAGCCTCCCCACGGGCATGCTCCCGGCAGCCCCTCTTCCCCCACCCGAGTGGCACAAACAGAAAAAGCAAATGGAGAGTCCGTCAGACAGTAATCCTGGAAGAGGACACTCTTCTCTCCGGCGCGAGTAGCGAGAGAAGGACTCACCAAGCCGCCTGAGCCCCGCGACAGGAGAGAGGACAGGCAACCCCCGGCGCGCGGACGTTTTTTCCCCACTGCGCCTGCGCCGCCCCGCCCACGCCCGGCGCTAATCCTGGCCCCAGGTCGCGGGCTGGTGACGTCAGCTGCGAGGAAAAAGCCGGCTGCCGGGGGAGTGAGGAAGAAAGGGGAGGGAGCCCGACACGGAAGTGGAGGTAGCGTCTGGGGAGCAGACGGAGGCGGTGACCGCGACGTAAGAGACGGGAATCGGGCGCCGAGAGGTGGGAGCTCGCAGAAAGGCCACCGCCTCGGGAGACGTACATGAGGTGCAGGAGTGGCTGGACTTCCCTTCTCCACCTCCGCGAGCACCCAGACTGATGGCGATGGTGATGGCGGCTGCTACTCGGACAGCCCCAATGAAACTGCGCTCGGAGCGGTGAGTGGGGGAAGGGTGGTTGCTGCCGGGCCTTGGGGATGGGGGTCCGCGCCCACCTTTCCGGCTCTTCTCACGTGCGACCACGTCCGCGACCCTGAACGGGTCCAGCCCTTCCCCGGGCGCCCGGCTGGAGAATGGCATCTTTGGGCATCTTCTCTAGAAGAGAGGGAGGCAAGACCTTTCTCGAGCCTTTGATCTTGGCATCCTTCGCACCCTCACCTGGTCGTTTTTACAGAGATCAGAAGGAGGGAACATTTAATCACAGTGTTCGGTCCCTGGAGGTATGGCGAGTACATTAACGCGTAGTCTCGGGGACTCCACATATATCCCTGAAGAAGAAAGTTGGGTTTCCCTGTTCAGACCCCACTTAAGTTCACAGAAGTGCGCATTTGGATCTAAAAGAAGAGCTAGAACGAAAGTATATTGTTGAATACTTCGGTCCTTGTAATCGTTGCTAAGGTCTTGGTCATTGACTTGATGCTTAGCTTGTGTCTTCACGTTCTCCATATTAGTAGACCGGTCTCTGATGAAAACCTTCACAAAGTGTGTGTGTGTGTGTGTGTGTGTGTGTGTGGTCCCCCGCACAGCCTCAGTTATACATGGTTTAGGACATAAGTGAGACGTTTTTCTGTTGTAGAGATTTCCCTGTTGTTCTTCTGTCTCGTTCCATTTGGTAAGGTGGCACACACAGAGTGAAGACAGATCGGGGTATTGTTCCGCCGGCGGTGGCATTGTGCGTGTAAAGGGCTGTTTTGAGTGCCGGGGCTCCAAACAGGCTCGCTAGATTCTGGGGTTTGCTGTGTGAATGAAGAGGAAGAGTGATTAGCTGAAAAAAGAACTTGGGATGTGTGGGAAATTAACCAGCCTAGTGTCGAATTCCCCAGTGAAAGGTACCTGAGACAATCTATTTGAGTTTTTTGGATAGACTGACATACAAAATTTTATTTTTTATCAAAGTAAATATCATTGGATAGACACTAGGGGTCAAGCCGAACTCCGACATTGTTCATCTCAATACTGAATAAATCATGATGAGATTTCAGTGTAGGCACTATTCAGAGCTCAGCATAAGAAGAATTTGGAAATTGGAACAAGAATTATAGCTATGAAATGCCCTAACTATAATGTCTATGATACCATTTGACTTCAAAAATATGAATGGGGTCCACACTTCCGTCATTTCGCTTTGCTTAGCAATCAAGCCATTTGATTCATAGGCTAAAGCAAATTTTCCTTTACAAATTTCACATGTATGAAAAGAGCTTGTGCCTTACAGTCAAACAGCCCTAGGTTTTAATTTTGATTAAACCCTGAACACACTCCTTTACTTCTCCAGATTGTCAGGTTTCTCATCCCCAAAATGAAAATGATACCTATCTCCACCAAACTGCTAAAATATATAGGAGATATTCATGGATATATAAAGCTAATTATTATTAATGTGTATTGGGTGGGCATTTGATGGTTTCGTTTAAAATGGAGTCGGTTTAAGTCATTATCCTGTAAAAATTTTCAAATATTAAAAGATGTAATCTTGTTTTTGCTAGTGTGTTTTTACAATTCTGTTTCTGTTTCAGTCAAATGCCTGCAAATTTTAATGTCTTCAGTGAGTTCATGGTCTTCCTGAGGAAAACAGACATTCAAATATGTATGAGATGATAGTGCAGTAATGAAATGTGTGTAACATAAATGTTAGCAAGATTTCTGGTTATTTAAGATTACATGGCTTTTTAAAAAGAAATCGATGTAGTTGTCTGTCACTGATGTAGCTATCAAAATTTTTCAAATGGATGTGTTTATCATTAATAGTGCATGTCTCACAGAAGTGAGTAGCTGAATGAACTCACTGAAAATGATGCCAAGGTCAGATTCAATTGCAATGAAGTTAGTTAGCTCTGTTCTGTTGTGACCATTCATAGTACCCTTAGGCTCACAAATATTATTGGTCTCAAGGGCAATAGAAGGAGAAAACATGAATATATTACCATATGACTGATGGTGGTATTACCTACATAAATAATAATATCACAGTGTTAGAGTTAGTTTATCCAAGAGGCATATTAGTATTGCCTTATGGAAGGGGTTTTAAATATACCTTTTCAACAAAATATGTACTTTATATAAAAGTCATGGATCCTGTGAAAGAGAGTATAACGATAATTGAAAAAACATTGAAGGGAGTTTAGAAATTTGTATATATCTGAATGTATCCTAAAACTCACCAGTCTTTTTTATTTATTTTTTAATATGTTTTTTATTGATTTCAGAGAGAGGAGGGAGAGAGAGAAACATCAATGATAAGAAAGAATCATCGATCCATGGGCTACCTCCTGCATGCCCCCCACTGGGAATTGAACCCGAAACCTGGGCATGTGCCCTGATCAGTCATAGCTTGACACTCAACCACCGAGCCAGACCAGCCAGGCTCACCAGCCTTTTAAATTTATTTTTGGGGTAAATAATACTTGCACGTGTACAAACCTTCTAGGATATAAAAGGGAATACAGTAGAAGTCCTGCTCCTAGCTACTTAGCTCTGCTGTCTAAAAGCAGCCAGTATTTGAGTCTTGTGTTGTTATATTGACACTGGATCCTTATGACAGCAAGACAGATATAATCCCTGTTTTAGTGATGAAAAAAACTGAGACTCAGAAAGTTTATAATTTGTTTAAGATCACACTCCTACCAGATGTCAGAGCTACAAATAGAAACCAGTCTTTTACCTTCTGATCTAAGGTAGTCTTACTACACTGCTCTCCATATCATAACTATTGCCATAAAACTTAGAATTTAGTGACGCATACCAAGACATTAAAGCAATTTTATTTAAGTCTAGAGACACCTTTCACTAGGTTATACATAAAACTTGTTCCCAAGCTTAAATATAAGCATATGTAATTATTATAAAGCAATGAAAAGAATCCTTATATAATAAAAGGCTAATATGCAAATTGTCCCTTCTACCGGGAGTTCGACCAGGGGGTCCGTGGCCCCTCCCCCCAGCTGGCCCTGCCCCCGATCACCCCTCCCACCCCATCAGAGGTGGGGCAGCCCGGCCAACCTCCCACTTCTCCCCCTGGCCATCCCAGCCCGATCAGCCGGCCAGACCCCATTCATGCACCGGGCCTCTAGTAATCTGTAATAACTTAAAAGCAGTTTGCCTTCTATTTCTGTTGACATCTATTACTAAGTTAGCTTGCAAAAACTACAAAACTTATATACATCCATAATATTTTTAAAAATTTTTAAATATTAAGACTTTTTAAAAATAGCTTGTTTATTATCAGAAGTAATATACCAGTAAAGTGCTTTATGATATTTCAGAAATGCTGAAGTCTCTGTGGCCTCAGTTTTTTGAAGTATGTTTTTGTGCAGATTTTCTAGCCTTATATATAAATAACCTTTGTTTAATCTCTTTCCTTTTTTAATCTTAATTTTGCTACTTTTCCACCTTTCATTTTTAGAAATTAGCTTCTACATGAAAAGTTATGAGTAATAATAGAAAGCAGCTAATACGTATTTTCATTAAGCTCAATGTGTGCTGCTTTTGTACATTTTAATCCTGGCAGTAAAAACATGAAGCAGCTGACATTATCCAGATTTTACAAGGGAAATACTGAAGCTAAATGAGATTTTTAAAATCAATTGACTAGTAAGTGACAAAATTTCAATTTTAGTTTGTGTTTGATGATTTAGTAGCTCATGCTATTTCACCTGTACCATGCTTCATTTTAAATAGAGTATAGTGAAAAACTATGTTATTATTTTTTATGGAGCTTAAAAACTTTAAAATTTTGTCTTTAAACTAAATTGCTCTTAATAGACTGCAAGAAAACAAGCCAAAATGTCTAACTTGACTGCCTAATTGAGTTACAGTTGACCCTTGAACAACTCAGGATTTAGAGGCCACAATCCCCTGCCCTCATGGTCAGTCAAAACTCTGAATATGACTTTGACTCTCCCAAAACTTAACCTACTGTTGCCCATAAGCTGTCTATTAACACATATTTTGTATTTTATATGTATGTATATATTCTTACAATAAAGAAAATAATATTAAAATCATGAGGAAGAGAAATAAATTTACAGTAGTGTATGTATTTATTGGGGAAAAATCCCACATATAAGTATACCCATGCAGTTCAAACATGTGTTACTAAAGTGTCAACTGTATAGTGTTTTTCCTTTTTTATTGATGCATTGATTGATTGATTGTTTCTTAGAGAGAGAAAAAGAGACATTGATTTGTTATTCTACCCATCTATGCATTCATTGATTGATATTTGTATGTGCCCTGACCAGGGATCAAACCTGAAACCTTGGCTTATCGGGACGATGCTCTAACCAACTGAGCTACCTGGCCAGGGCAGGTATAACTTTGATTCATTCACACTGGATGGCTGTTGTTGTGTTGGCTGTTGTCATTTTTTTTTAATTTAACAATCTTAAGTTACTAGTAAAAAAGTCAGTGCCCCTGACTAAGTAGTCAGGTATTACATGTTTTAAATATTCTTATGGCACACTGGTTGAAAATTGCTGCTCTAGATTAACTTCTTTCAGTTACAGGTTACTAGACTTTTCTCTTTATCTTTAGCTACCATGTTCAGGAAATGTACAATAATGTTAATAGCCCAAGTTAAATATTTCCTTAAAATTTATTCCCCTCCCCCCCCAAAAAATTATGGTAAGCCAAATAACCAAAATCATTGCTTATGCAGGTTTCCTTTTATTTATTTTTTTAATGTTCATGTTTTTTAAAATCTTTATTGCTGAAAATATTACATATGACCCCTTTTTTCTCCCATTTACCCCTTATAAGCCTGCCCTCTGGTCCCCCGCCCTAGGGCTTCATCACCCTATTATCTGTGTCCATGGGTTATGCATGCATACAAGTTCTTTGGTTGATTTCTACTCACCCACGCACTTCCACCTTGCTGCTGAGATTCTATAGTCTGATCCATGCTTCTGTGTTTCTGGATCTATTTTGTTCATTAGATTCCA